GCTACATTTAAACAAATGTGCTGATTAGGGGTGACTATCTGTCTGGAAATCACTATTGCGAAAACTATTGATATTGAAAGAAACTATTACTGGTATGGTAAATACAATCGAAACTATCGATATTCTGAAGTCGATACTATTGATCGGAAACTGATTTAACAATCGATTTATTGACTTTAATTGCCTACCAATAGCAATATATCGATATTTCGATTTATCGTGACACCCCTAGTACTGATCTTGACGATATTTTAGATTTTTCAGGTGTACTTTCAGTCAGACCTTTATACACAACGTTTGCCTGGATTGGGGATGAGGGTTGGCTAAGTTCCATACAGTAAATACTCATCGCCAAAAGAAACGAGAACCGTAGGAACATGCAGAGGAGTATGTACGTTAAGAAGAGATGTTTCCAAATGTGTACCACGTAATGACAAAACTAACAATATCAGTCAGGTTTTGCCATTCGAGCCAAATGGTGAACTTCGAGTCATGGATCTATGACGTCACATGTGATGCGTTCATGGGTATCGGTTCACACAACATACCAGTTCGTTCGTTTGTGCATCGAACCATTCTCATATCTCTTGAATATGAGTAATTATTTTAATATATGTATTAACCAGCATGTATGATATTCGCGTAATTCGGTTATTATTATTATTATTATTATCATTATCATTATTATTATTATTATTATTATTATTATTATTATTATTATTATTATTATAACTGGTAATGTGATATTGAATTGATGAAGGAAACAAAAGAGATTTGGTTTAAACGATGGTACTATAAACCCGGTTATATCGGAGATACCTTTCGTCCAGACTACGCATTAGTGGAACCTGATTCAAAATTGTGTATCTTGATATATCGTTTTAGACGATGAACATTAATGGTCACGTTTAATCCAGATGAGTAATATTGGTAAATAGCGGCACTCTGCTTGTCTCGAAACACGGCAGTTCGACATACAATCTTCAGGATTTCAATTGAATGGTGTTCCACTGAATATAAGTTTGGTTGTCATAAGGCTATCGCTGTGCCCAAGCAATCCGAAAAAGGGTTGGGTGAGTGAGTGAGTGAGTGAGTGAGTGAGTGAGTGAGTGAGCAATAATCCAGACATATCAAACCGAGGGACACCAAAATTGAACTTCACATATTATATCCATGTATGGAATCAGCCGAGGTTTTCGAGACGGGTGATCGCTTTACCTAAGACGTTATCATGCTGTTTGTCGAGAAAATGATGTTTCAAAATCAGCAGATTACTTTGTTTTTTTGTGTGTTTTTGTCTGTGTTGTTGTTGTTGTTGTTGTTGTTTTGTGTATTATCAAAAGCAAAACAGAGCGGACACACGCTGTGAAACTCGCCTACAACGTGGGCTTGACTACGTATTAAATTAGCTCGTGATAACCTGAATTTCGCTGAGAAAAATGATTGAACGAAAACTGATAATTCTGGTTTATCCAAGTGGTGTTGGTGACATTGTCCAGAATGTAGAATGACACGGGCTATTTCAAAGTGACAATCGACAATTTAGTACCAAATCGAATAGACTCCCATCCTGTTTGCATATTTCTTGGTGATTGGTCTGTAATGGTCTTTTCCGCCTTGATGCAGCCTTTAAATTTATTCCTAAGTACTATTGTCGATATCCAGTTTACGCGAATTGTCCACAAGGGGATTATCACGGCGGGAATGAGATTCGGCTCTGTGGAGCTTCCTCCCAACCCAGCGAGAGTATGAAGGGGATCGCGACGAGCGATCAATAAGGAGGCACGGCGAATATTCGGCATGGTGTAAGGGAGGCAACTCCAGCCAACAAATACAATACTTGAAGCTCTCGTAAAATATCTTCTGCTTGTGAGACTTGTGAGAGCGTTGACTGTATGAGCGGGAGGCGTTACATTACATTCACACCAAGACCACGAACATCGATTCATGCTGTAGGAGATGGTTTGACAAGCCCATGGAAACCACTAAACTCAAATAAATCCGCCAATTTATCCACAAGATCACCGTTATTTCGTTTGACGAGTTAATAAGTGACTATTATCAATGCGCATTCCTCGGCCATGTTGTCCACCATATCCCATTCTATGTTCTTACGAAACAAATGGGGTATTGTGTATCTGTTCAATTGTATTGTGCGGTGCTCACAATATCGGAGGATGACGAGTGTCGGAAGAATAAAATCGTGGATTTGTGTTCCTTTGATCAGTCGACCTCTGAAGATCCGGGGTAGAATAGGTCTTCAGCAATTCATGCCTGCCGTAAAAAACGCCTATGCTTGTCGTAAGAGGCGACTAACGGGATCGGGTGGTCAGGCTCGCTGACTTGGTTGATGCATGTCATCGTATCCCAATTGCGTGGATCGATGCTCATGATGTCAATCACTGCATTGTCTGTTCCAGACTCGATTATTTACAGACCGCTGTCATATAGCTGGAATATTTCTGAGTGCGGCGTTAAACAAACAAACAAACAAACAAATCATATGATCAGTCATCGCTTTGCCTTTCTTGTGCTTGGTGTTAACAAATAGCACATATGAATTTATACCAAGAGCCGCATCCAGCTATATTCACGGTGGCCTGTAAATAATCGAATCCTGGCCATGTGAACCAGTGGTTGATATCACGAGCACCGATCCACACATTCCGGGAATACGAAGACTCCACAGATTGCAACATGAGGTTCTGGGGACTCCAATACATTTCTGAATGCGCACAGAGATGTGTTACGAACAGAAATCAATAGAATTCAAGATAGCAGGGAGTTGGAGTGAGTGAGTAAGATGTGTTTAACTCCAGTTAAAACAGTATTGCAGTATTTCATTGCGTGCACCAGCTTTTCTCCACAACTTTGTTCTGGCAAAACGATTTGTTCAATATATTCTGGAACAAAGTATATATTGTTTACATACACCCCACCGCCATTTGCGATATCAGAAGCCGACGAGGTGTGGAATTTAAAATAACATTACGCCGAATATGGAATACCTGGGCTTAAAGGAAAAAAAGACTTTACAGATCCGGATTACAATGGGTCTTCAGCAACACATGCTTGCGGTAAGAGGCGACCATGCACGGGAGTGGGTGGTCAGGATCGCTGACTTGGTTCATGCATTTCGTCATTTCCCAAATGTGTGGATCGATGCTCATGATGTTAATCACTGGATTGTCTGGTTCAGATTCGATCATTTACAGACCGCCGTCATCTAGCTGGCATATTGCTGAGTACGAGTATGATTAACATCATGAGCATCGATCCATGTAAAAGGGATCGATGACATGCACAAAACCAAGTCAGCGAGCCTGACCACCCGATCCCGTTAGTCGCCTTTTACGGCAAGCATAGGTTGCTGAAGACCTATCCTACCCCGGATCTCATTGGGTTGTAAGGCAGTTTAAGCCCATTGCTGCTGGGTATCGCACAGTACACGAACATTTTTACCAAAAGAAACCATGTCAACGAAACCGAAAAAAGTGTAAAATGTGCGTTAACTATGTATCTTCTAGTCTCCTTGGAGAAGCTGAGTGAGCAAGCATGAGTTTCAGCAATGTTGCAGTTTAATGTCATGGCAGTTAACACCAAAAATATTCTTCAAGCATTGTGTCATGTTGGGAATCGAACCAAGGTCTGCGGCGTTACGAGCCATTCTTTTAACCAGCAGGCTAACTGCGCTCTTTATCTTATCAGAAGGTTATTCTTTTTAATGGTTTGGGGGTAAATAAATTGAAACAAACATGTCTGTGTCGAAACACTGATATATGGATGTACATTAAAAAGGTCCCACACACTTCCATGTTACCTTATGTGAGTGGATGGCAAGTTGTTTTTTCAAATGTGTGACTTGGTGATTTCCCAACTGACACCCAGAGGCTAACCAAGAGGCACGTACGGTACGCACAGAACAAAGCATGAAGTCAGGAAAAAGCCACACAAGATCACTGAATAATCAATATATTATACATGCAGGTTAGGTTTACAATGAAAGCGACAATACAATGGGTCAAATAAGTCAAATAAGTCGCAACAGCACTAAGTAAGAAGTCCTGGAATTAATGTTAGTGTTCTCACGAATGTTCAGAATTCTGTCACTGTTGGATGACCTGAAAGAGGCTGTCTCAGTTCTTGAATACAAAATAGTGTTGTAAGCTGGCGCGAATTCGGTGTTTACAATTAGGCAATTTCTGACCAATCCGCGCTTGGCAAATAGATCAGAAACGAGTCAGATCGAAAAAGCCTCGTATCGCCATCTTGTCGGTCTTTTATAGGTACAGTCAACTTCTCGTGCAGAAACTTCCAGAACGATCAAGTCTGAGATGTTCATGCACACCACAAGGGCAGATAACTCTAATAGTTGTACAAAACCAGGCTGGCAACCTCCCTTCGCTGCTGTTGACAGCAGTTCAAATCAGGCTGAGGCAACTATGTATTTGTATTCAGTCATTTGCTGCCATTGACAATTACTACCAATTGTTTCTACAGTTTCTACTGCCACTGGGTGTACTGAACACATAACAAATACATTCTAAATCTGTTGGTAGTCATTATCAGATTGTGATCGGATGTCAATGAAACCTGAAGATTTACACACAGTTTTTAGCGCCAGACATTCAGTTCAGTTACCTTGTTGACAGTAAATTAATCCAGAACCGAGAATAGTGCCGCTACATACATAGTAGCTGACAGAGTATAAACGTATGTATATATATGATCGATTAGAAAATTATGGAATATATACATATATATTCATCGTTACAGATTTAACATTTCTTGCCACCGATATGAAATAATATGCATCATAAACGATATAACATTCTGTACACGAGAACACGTTATAATACCAGATATGAAAACAGTGTTAATTCAGCTAAAAAACAAATAATAGTTTTGAAAAATAATATGCGTATATAGAGACTCGATCCAACAAAAGCGTATAACACTATGATATTTTACTAAAATTGGAGGCCACTCCGAATTACCTCCCTTACACTAGCAAACCAGGAAGCTTGAAAGCGAAAGTAGGGAATGACGAATTTGTGGAAAGATTACACGCAATATGTGGGAAAAACCAGTTGCATTTTCATTTACTAACACAAAGACACAGAACTAACACGGGCGACAGGATGGCTTCTCTACCAGCGTGAGTAAACTCGCATTATTTAGCACACGTCCGGATATGCGTAAACAGTTGTATCAATAATTTACATATAATTTTGCAATATTATTCGTTCTTCTTCCTTTTAAATATATTCTATCCTGGCTTATGTTTTTTTATATGTGGTCTTTGTGAGTAATTATATCACTAGTGTTACATAGACGTCCCCATTTGTTACTGTGGCAAGGCTGACAGCGTATATATATCGGTACTGCGATCAGTATAATGGAGTGGGTCATTGGTTGTCGGGGTGTGCGAGGGGTTTTAGTTTTCAGTGTTCAACCCTTCACGACTCTCGGCTAGGGTGGCGAGACGGAGAGAATCGCAGGGACGGGGTTCTCAAATATGAATAGTTCAAGGGGAGAGTCGCGGAGAAATACGCCACAAGGACAGGATCAAACTGACACAGTGCACACCCATATACTGTTAAAATACGGGGGAGGGGCAAACATGTACACAATACACAGCCATCTACTATTAAAATAAGGGGGAGGGGCAAACATGTACGCAATACACAGCCATCTGCTATTAAAATGAGGGGGGGGGGGGGGGGGGGGGGGACAAAGCTGTACACAATGTACAGCCATCTACTGTTAAAATAAGGGGGAGGGGCAAACATGTAAACAATACACAGCCATCTACTGTTAAAATAAGGGGGATGGACAAAGCTGTACACAATGCACAGCCATCTACTGTTAAAATAAGGGGGAGGGGCAAACATGTAAACAATACACAGCCATCTGCTATTAAAATAAGGGGGAGGGACAAACATGTACATCATGCACATCCATCAACTATTAAAATAAGGGGGAGGGGCAAACGTGTACACAATGCACAGCCATCTACTATTAAAATAAGGGGAGGGACAAACATGTACATCATGCACATCCATCTACTATTAAAATAAGGGGGAGGGGCAAACATGTACACAATGCACAGCCATCTGCTATTAAAATAAGGGGGAGGGGCAAACGTGTACACAATGCACAGCCCTCTACTATTAAAATAAGGGGGAGGGGCAAACATGTACACAATACACAGCCATCTACTATTAAAATAAGGAGGATGAGCAAACATGTACACAATACACAGCCATCTACTATTAAAATAAGGGGGTGGGGGACAAATGTGTACACAATACACAGCCATCTACTATTAAAATAAGGGGGAGGGGCAAACATGTACACAATACACAGCCATCTACTATTAAAATAAGGAGGATGAGCAAACATGTACACAATACACAGCCATCTACTATTAAAATAAGGGGGTGGGGGACAAATGTGTACACACTGATACACAGCCATCTACTATTAAAATAAGGGGGAGGGGCAAACATGTACACAATGCACAGCCCTCTACCATTAAGGGGGAGGGGCAAACATGTACACAATGCACAGCCATCTGCTATTAAAAAAAGGGGGAGGGGCAAACATGTACACAATGCACAGCCATCTGCTATTAAAATAAGGGGGAGGGGCAAACATGTACACAATGCACAGCCCTCTACTATTAAGGGGGAGGGGCAAACATGTACACAATGCACAGCCATCTGCTATTAAAAAAGGGGGAGGGGCAAACATGTACCGATGCACAGCCATCTGCTAGTAAAAAAAGGGGGAGGGGCAAACATGTACACAATACACAGCCATCTACTGTTAAAATAAGGGGGAGGGACAAAGCTGTACACAATGCACAGCCATCTACTGTTAAAATAAGGGGGAGGGGCAAACATGTACACAATGCACAGCCATCTGCTATTAAAAAAAGGGGGAGGGGCAAACATGTACCGATGCACAGCCATCTGCTATTAAAAAAAGGGGGAGGGGCAAACATGTACACAATGTACAGCCCTCTACTGCTGAAATATTAGAATGATGGAAACCAGTTTAAAAGCTTGTCGTCAGCCAAATAAGGATTGTGTAGTTAGACCATCCATGTTTCTCATCTCCAACCTCAATCAGCAAGAGAGCTGGCGGGCGAAATAAAAAAATATTTAAATACTTTTCACGAATAATTCTTGTGTAATTTTATGAAATTTTGTAACAGTCCTTCAATTAAATTATGACGTAGATCTAGTCGTTTTGCTTTGGAAGTGTATTTTTAATAAATATAGCTGAAGAAAGACCAAGCTTACCTGTTTTAATGCGCAGTTGTGGTAGTACCTTTTTTTATTGCATCGGGCATAAATTTCCACAGAGCGGGGAAAAATGAGAAAAGAAATCTTTTTATTATTTCACGTCGGAAAGAAAATTCAGGGCGGGCGGGAGATGGGAAACACAGAAAAAAATAGGGACAGCCTTACAGTGAATAGCTTGATGATTGTGTAACACCGTACCAAATTGGGTCATACGTCAGGCCGCTATTCCATGAAAAAGGGCAGCAGTCTGGAGCAAATTAAGCATGTTAATGCGCACACCATACATCGACGGTGTGATATGTAACCAGTGTGAATATGCCCTGACATGTGTCCATTGATAGCGATTCACTGGTTCACGGTGTATGTTTTCAAATGATATTAAGGGATTGCGGGAATGATTGTGTGGAATCGAAAGGAGGAAAATACGTCAGCATAACAAAACGTGTTTTCAAACAGGATCTCTCTTACACCTAATATTCCTCTGGACTTAATTCAGCATTATTCGTTCAGTGATTTGCATAATATCTTGATAAAACCCGGAGTGAGTGAGTGAGTTTGGTTTTACGCCGCTTTTAGCAATATTCCAGCAATATCACGGCGGGAGACACCAGAAATGGGCTTCACACATTGTACCCATGTCGGGATTCGAACCCGGGTCTTCGGCGTGACGAGCGAACGCTTTAACCACTAGGCTACCCGACCGCCCCGATAAAACCCGGAAGAATGAGAGGACCGTAACTTTGAAACTGGAGAAACATTATTTTAGAATACGAAAGTGAAAGTGAATATGTGAGTGAGTTTTCCAGTTATATGACGGCGTGTCAGCTTCATGTGGGAGGAAAGCCCGTAACTTCGAAACTGGAGAAACATTATTTTAGAATACGAAAGTGAAAGTGAATATGTGTTTTTGATGTTCAGGATATGTGAGTTAATTATCCAACTGCGTGTTAAGCAGAGGGGTGCACCAAGTGTTTAATACTGTGACCTGGCTTGCAGTCACCTTGTCTAATTCCCTGGCTTTAAATGTGGGATGTTCCGAAAAATATCAACAAAAACTGTTAAACGAAATCAGTTATATCACGGCGTGTCAGTTTGGTGCGGAGAAAATCCCAAGGTTATGCGAGTTTTAGTGAATATCACCTTTTTAAACCCCTCGAGCACGAGTATGGTGCTGACAAACCGAGAAACATCTGGAATTCCAGCTCTCAATCATAGGGTTCTGGCACATCTAAGGGACGTCACTCTGCATAGCGAATTGCCGCTCACTGGTCGAGTGTGACATCCGTATATCCACTATAAGAGTGAGTGAGTTTGGTTTAACGTCGCTTTGAACAATATTGCAGTTATATCACGTCAGATTAATGTGGAAGGAAAACCGGAAGTGACGAAGGTCTCAGACACTTACCACTGTGGTGAAACCCACGGGTATGGTGCTGACAAACCTAGAAACATAATCGGGTTGAACTCGGATTCGAGACCACGATCTGGCACACCTAAGGGACGCAACTCTGCACAGCCTTAGACGACTGTAGCCGAGTGGTTTAAGCTACGATACAACTCATACAGTATTTTGATGACGCTGTAATAACTAGGGCGTTTCCGAGGGCTGGTGTGTTCTCTCGATTTCAGATGGGTACATGTCAAGGTTCTGGGTTTTTATTTTTACCATTGCCAGCTATTGTGATAGTGATATCAACAATGTGTTTAATGTTCATACTATAATCACTAACAAGGAGTGAGTGAGTGAGTTTTCCAGTTATATGACGGCGTGTCAGCTTGATGTGGGAGGAAAGCCCGAAGTGATGCAGGTCTCAGACGTTTATCACTTCGGTGAAACCCACGAGCACGGTACGGTGCTGACAAACCTAAACACATAATCGGGGCGAACCTGGATTCGAAACCATGATAGTAGGTTTCTGGTGTGCCCAAAGGACGCAACACCGCACAGCGAATTGCGGCGCCTTAGACGACTGGGCCCCCGTGCCCCCACTGACAAAAGATGGCTTATGCTACCCAATGGGCAGCGTAAAATCAATGTCTAACAAACAATAATCCTTTCTCTTTTATAGAAACGACTTACTTGATTTTGATGAGATTGCCAACCTGCACTGTCTTCAAGAAACAGTATCGGACGATGAAGGAGTGACCATCACGGAACCCTGCGACCGAGACACGCGTCTTCGGGGGGAGGTACTGACCCATCTACACGATGCCCTGGCCTGCATGTACAAGGAAGAAGAGCTCACCGACCTTCATGTCAAAATTGAAGGCAAGGTCTTCCACTGCCATCGGGTGATAATGGCGGCCATGTCAGGCTACTTCCGGTCCCTTTTTACTTCCGGTATGCAGGAGAGCCAGAATGGTGAGGTGGAATTGCAAGATGTTTCCAAGAGAACATTTGACCTCATCCTGCTGTACGTGTATTATGGCGATAATGTTGTCAACTCGGATTCTGTGGAGGAGTTGCTGAGAGCAACAGTGCTGCTTCAGATACCACCCTTGGAGAGAGCGTGTGTGGAGTATATGAGCAAGTGTCTCAACCCCAGTAACTGCATGAGTATCTGGAAGGCAGGCAAGACATTCGGTTGTCCTGCGCTGATAGAAACGGCATGGGATGTCATTTTGAAAAAGTAAGTGTATGGTCAATAATTGCAATCGGGGGCACACAACCTATGACAAAGAGTTAACCTGATTCTCATCACAAGCTTATTTTCAACATATTCAGGTCACCAGATCTTTTTTCTCACCAAGTAGGTTTATAAACATGCTTGTTAGCAGCCATGGCGGATCCAGAATTGGTAAAGGATGTGGGAATTGGAATGGTGATGGGGGGAGGGGGGGGGGGGGGGGGGGGGGGGGAGAATGCATTAATACCAATATTGACCAAGGGCGCAGTTAATATGTAAGGTGTACGTAAGAGGAGGGTGCGTACCCCCACATCCCCTTTCTGTATCCACCGGTGCATATTCCACGCAAGGGGAGAAAGCTCATCCATTAAAGATTTGGTCAGTCTCCCCAATCACTAGGTTGAAATTAAGGTTGTTTTTGAACCGTATGCGACGTACTTGCGATGGCGCCGTATCATGCCATTACGCAAAGGTTTGCACGGCTCAGAATCGAGTTGGTATATGCCTCCATGATAAAGCTGAAAAAATGCTGACGTTTGCAAACAACCTGTCACGGACTCTACATGATTAGACACAGCTTTTGGTTTGCGGAAGGACTATTAGTTTTCTTTCCAAATCTAGGTTTGTTAAATGAGCGTGTCCGAAATGAGTCGTGGACAACTTGATTTTTAAGTGCCTATCATTGTTTACTGTTCATCATCTTTTGATACATCCAATTAAGATAAGCACATCCTGATTGTTTCTTCCAGTTTTGAGGAGGTCAGCCATCAGGAAGACTTCCTGGCCTTGCAGAAGGACGATGTAGTAGCCATCCTGGACGATGACCAGTTGAACCCCGACTCCGAGGACCCCATCTGTGACGCTGTCCTTTCATGGGTTCGATCTGACCTTCCTGCAAGGGAAGAACACATGGAGGAACTGCTAAGCCTAGTCTGTGTGCCAAAGATGTCTTCATCCTTTGTCTATGACAGACTCCTCCTTGACCATGACCTTATGCAGAAGAACCCCCGCTTCTTTACATTTGTGATGGAAGCGACACGTTGCCACATGAAGCCGGATGAGAAAGCTAAGGTGATGGCAAAGCAAACCAAACTGAGGAACGATCCCAATTACCAAAAGGTTGAAGCCCTCGTTGGTGGGTATTTCATGGCAGATGATCCCCTTAAATGCGTCCTCTGTTATGATTTGAATCGGAGAAAGTGGTACACCGTTGCTGCCATGCCTCAAGAAGCTGGTGAGGACTTTGCTACATGTACGTACCAAAATGAAATGTATGTTTCTGGGGGATCTAGAAGTCTGGACAAATTCATCAAGTACATCCCAGGCAGCAATGACTGGCTCGATCAACCGTCTCTCATCACAGGACGAGAGTGCCACAGCATGGTCGTTGTCGGAGAATACATCTACGTTCTTGGAGGACGAAACTCCCAACTGGAAGACGAAAGCGGTGTCGTTAAGGACATCGAGGCCTACAACACAACAAGGGGAACATGGTCCAAAGTTGGCAAACTTGAAATTCCTTTGGATAGCCTCTCTGCTGCAGTGATGAATGAAAGAATATATACCTTTGGTGGAACGGATGAAAATGGTAAAAGCACTTCTGCAATCCAGTGCTTCGATCCAAGCAAAAGAACATGCAGTCTCGTAGGATCGTTGCCCGAGCCATCATCAGCTACTTCTGCCATTGCCTTTAATGCCAACATTTACGTGTTCAGTCAAGAAGGAAAGGTCTTCCGGTTCGACCAGACACAGTCTTTGTCAAAGGTTGCGGAGTTTGAGGGGAGGTCCAAGTTTGGGTTGTACGTGAGTGGGCACAGTCTCATGGTCGTCGGTGGGCAGGATGAGAATAGAACTTTCCTGGATCAGATCGTCAGTGTCAACGTGAAGTCAGGAAGCGTTGCTGCTGCTGATACAAAACTTCCCATACCGTTTTGTGGCTTCAAGATGGAGTCGTTGGTGATGCCGAAGGTCATGCTGGCTCAAGAAGGGTTTAACGTCCAGGGGCAGAACCTGTTTGACACAGACCTAGAACGCCGTGAGCAATATAAAGCAAAAAGACACAGGCACCCTTTCTTACAGAACGACTTCTAGAGACTCGGAGCTGTGTTCCGGCTGGAGTAAATCAAATGTTTACATATGTTGGACATTTAAAAGAAACCGTCTTCCATTCTTAAAACAAACGTGAAAAATTACACAGAATTCAGGACATCCTATCAATGCGTTAAAGGAGCCCATATTTTGCTATCATTCAGAACAACCTGGCAATGATTTAAAGTGCCCATCGTTCGCTATCATTCAGGACAGCCTGCCAATGATTTTTGAAACCCGTCGTTTGCTAACATTCAGGACAACTTGCCAATGATTTATGAAACCCGTCTCATTTGCTAAAATTCAGGACAACCTGCGAAAAAATGAACTAAAGCGCCCTTTGCACCGGCAGTTGCATTTGGAACTTCCGACAACTACGTAGGATGTTAATCACAACATAACTCTTTTAGATCTTCATCCAAAATGATCAAACCTTTCCCAAAGTTGATTGGCAGGACTCCTCTGAAGTTGCATCTGGATTCTACAAAGGAAAATCTGTATTTAACAATGTGGTTGCCTTAGTACCATGCTGATTTTGGCGTAAAAACTAGCACATCGGCACAGAAACCTGGCCTTGACGCACATGACTGTACAACTAGGAGGCTAGAGGTCAATCATTGCTATATCTGGATTGATCAAATTCCGGATTGATTGATGTTGTCAGACGATTTCGATTCGTCCATCCCCGTTTCGTTTTTTTACGATCTCGATTTTGAATTCTTTTTCAAGTATCATTCAGAGAAGAGATGTGACTTCAGCATAAGTTACTGCAATGATTTCATCGCTTGCAAGTAGTCAAAGGGGTGGATTAGCCTAGTCGTTAGAGCGTTCGCTTTTCACAAGGGTTCGATTCCCCAATATGACTATTATTGTTGCCATTATTAGTATTGTAATAATCAGGAATCAGTTAGTCTAAAATTTCCAACGTTCTGTATTTGATGTGCATGATTTAATTTCTGTTTACATGATAATCAGGTGTGAAATGTTTTTTTCGTATAGAGGTTACAACTGGCGGTAATATATTTCAACATTACCGCCAGTATGATCCCTTCACAACTTGGGTAGCCTAGTGGTTAATGTGTTCGCTTGTCATGTCGAAGGCCTGTGTTCGATTCCCCACATAGGTAATATGCGTGAAGCCTTTTTCTAGTATTCCCTCCGTGATATAGCTTGAATATTGCAAAAAGCAGCGTAACACCATCACTGTTTATGTAAATGCACTACTGTATCTGCTTCAGCTGCTGTTTCTGGTGCAACTGTTATTGATGCTTCACGTGGTAAGGCGGAAAACGATATCTTCATTTGTTTCTTCTTTATTACATATATAACCTGCGAATATGTACATGGAATGGGTTGGTCTGATGTGTATGTATTTAGCCTTTGTGGTAGTTTAGCTTTTGTATTGTAACAGGAAAACCTGGTAATGTCCATATGTACTTATATAAACCTTCCCACACTAAATGTTTCAGATGACAGGGTTTCCATACTTAACAATGGCATTAAAGTCAGATCATTGTTCTTGCTACTGCTGCACTAAAATCTGAGGACATCCCATCACAGATCACGTTAGAACGAGATTTCATCCGACCAATCAGAGCGTCGCTTACGAGATCGGGAAAGTGAAAGTCATATCCGTGCGCGTCTGTTTCACAAAACTTGTGAACGTCAAAGACTTGCGCTGTTTCTTTCCACAAAATGCAGACACGCTGTGATATAACTGAAATAGGCCTACTATTCGAATCGGCGTCAAACCAAACTCACACTTTGTATTTATTATTAATGTGTAGATTGTTCTAGCCACTGTATGGCTGAAGTACTCCCCGATGTGACTTTAAATACTTACTCACTGTTTGCTTGGAGTGAAATACATACGGCAGTGATTTGAGCAAGTTCGAGGTCAACATTTGACCTGTATTGACATTGAAAGTCCATTACGCTCCACCAACATCAGAAAACACGTGCGACAAAAGGTCAAGGTCGATAGTCAGATACCATATACCCAGTTAACGGTTGTAACTTATTCAAGTGGACTGGGTTTGTTGTTTAACGCCACACGCAGCCATAGTCCAGCTACATGACGGCTGCCGTCGACGTAGTGGAGTCTGGACAATCCAGTGATTGGCATCATGAGCATCGATGCACGCAACGGGGACACGATGACATGTATTAACCAGCTCGCCGAGTCTCACCTCATTAAGTCGCTTCTTACAAGCATATATTGCTTGGGACCTATACTCCAACCGTAGTTCCCCCGGGTCTTCCAGTGGTGAGAAGGGGTGGTCGGGTAGCCTAGTGGTTAAACCGTTCGCTCGTCACGCCGAAGACCCGGGTTCGATTCCCGACATGGGTACAATGTGTGAAGCCCATTTCTGGTGTCCCCCGCCGTGATATTGCTGGAATATTGCTAAAAGCGGCGTAAAACCATACTCACTCACTCACTCCAGTGGTGAAAATAATATGGTAGCAGTCTAAGGTTGCGCTGTGGTGCTAGAACTGCCAACTGTATGTTTGTTTAGACAATATGTTGATATCGTTTGTAGTGTCTTGCAGTTAGTGTACATTGCATATTATGTATATTTTGCTTTGTTGGAATAAACATTTTAATACGTTAATTACGTTAACGTAGATACTTATTTCTTCTGTATCTGACGGCTACATGCTGTACCGTATATTCGATGATAACCATGGCCAAGTGGAGAGAGCGTCTGCCCGTAGAGCGGAAGGTCGGGGGTTCAATCCCGGCCTTATGATATCAAAAGAGACCCGTGAAGATTAGATAGAATAGGTCTTCAGCAACCCATACTTGCCGTAAAAGGCGACTATGCTTGTTGTAAAAGGCGACTAACGGGATCGGGTGGTCAGGCTCGCTGACTTGGTTGATACATGTCATCGATACCAATTGCGTGGATCGATGCTCATGATGTCAATCACTGGATTGTCTGGTCCAGACTCGATTATTTATATACAGACCGCCGTCATATAGCTGGAATATTTCTGAGTGCGGCGTTAAACAACAAACAAAACAAGAAACATCAAAAGACGTAAAAAAAAATGGTAATTGATGTTACCCTTCCTGGGGCTCAGCATTGTCGCTATATAAGTGCAATGAGGCCCATCTCAACACATCATATTGCCCGGGCGGAGTAGGTTGCATAAATATCAGATTTCTGGACAATACGTCACAAAAGCTCATCGCTTATTCAGGGGAGCGAAACATATTTCATAATCGAACTTTAATCTGTCGTTTCAACTATAAATTTTCGAAATCGAAATCGAAAAAGTCAAAACGAAAGTGGTTTAGATTGAAAAGGAAACGATTTTGTTAGAGTAGACTTACCGAATGTGGACCCGAATCATACCGTATGGACCCGTGAAGATCCGGGTAGAGAAAAGGTCTTCAGCAACCCATACTTGCCGTTATAGGAGACTAACGTTATTAGTTGACTCACTAACTTGGTTGATGCATGTCATCGTATCCAAATTGCGTAGATCGATGCTCATGACGTCGATCTCTGGATTGTCTGGTCCAAACTCGATAATTTACAGACCGCCGCCATGTAGCTAGGATTTTGCTGAGTGCGGCGTGAAACAACGAACAAACAAAACGTACCGAATATGGACCCGTCATCCTTGTTATATTTGAGCTTAAAAGTGATGATGATGATGATGATGATAAAATTAGATTTGATAAAATGGTCTGAACAGGAATGTCTACACCGAACACCATCATTTGGTTTAACTCGTACTTCATATCATCATCATACAAACCGATAGTTTAAAGATAATAATCTGAGATAAAAATATATTCTATCCAAGAGCAAATTTTCAAATCTGCTATTTCTTATTAAAGCGTTCGTAAAATATAACGAGTCTACCCATGATCGCCAATGCGTTCGTTGTTGGTCAAAATAATACTTACTCAGATATTTGCAGCGTCTCCAGTAGAACAGATACGCTCCTTCTACAACACTCAATTGATTCATTGCTAAATTTCGCAATTAGTCAAGTCGTAAGAAGTGATTTTTGTTTTGTTTGTTCGTTGTTTAACGCTGCACTCAGCAATATTCCAGCTATATGACAGCGGTCTGTAAATGTTCGAGTCTGGACCAGACAATCCAGTGATTGACATCATGATCATCGATCCACTCAATTTGAATACGATGACATGCATCAACCAAGTCACCGAACCTGACCACCCGATCCCTTACTCGGGGTACATGGGGTTTTATGTGTCCCTTCAGCTCGTGGTAAAAAACGCGGCCGCATAAAACCCCATGTACCTACCGCTCGTGATCCTGCTACTACTTATAAGATATCAGTCTGGTCCAAATTCGATTATTTACCGACCACAGTCATAGATCTGAAATACTGTAAAAACAAACACAAAACATGAAACTGAGAAGCAACATAATGGTGTGTTTTTGTGTATAGAAGTATTATGTTCGCGGACATTGACTGAAACATGTTGTGTGACGATGTATTGAAGGATTATGTGGTCGGACATTGACTGAAACATGTTGTGTGACGATGTATAGAAGTATTATGTTGGCGGACATTTACTGAAACATGTTGTGTGACGATGTATTGAAGGATTATGTTGACGGACATTGTATTGATCATGTTGTTTGACGATGTATAGAAGTATTATGTGGTCGGACATTGACTGAAACATGTTGTGTGACGATGTATTGAAGGATTATGTTGACGGACATTGTATTGATCATGTTGTTTGACGTTGTATAGAAGTATTATGTGGTCGGACATTGACTGAAACATGTTGTGTGACGATGTATTGAAGGATTATGTTGACGGACATTGTATTGATCATGTTGTTTGACGATGTATAGAAGTATTATGTTGTCGGGCATTGACTGAAACATGTTGTTTGTCGATGTATAGAAGTATTATGTTGTCGGGCATTGTATTGAAACAAGTTGTTTGACGATATACAGAAGTATTACATTTACCATGTTTACTGAAACATGTTGTGTGACGATGTATAGAAGCATTATGTTGTTGGACGTTGTATCGTTGTACGGAGAAAATTATGATTTTTGGAGTTTTATATATATATAAATATATATATAGAATATACTATTATTTTGCTATTATGTGAAATACTGTTTATTTCCGTGCCCCGGTATTTCTTTCCTCGTCTGTCACTCTATCATGTGACTCTCCGAATGACGTAACAGTTTTGTTATTTTCCTGTCGATATTCTAGCAATCCCGCAAACAACGTATAAACCTCCTCTCCCAACGCCGCTGTTCAAGGTCGCCGCCACATTCTTCCCATGATGCACCGGTGCACCTGTTCACGCTATGTCAAGTCACAGTGGTGTAAGATTTCAATCTGCACCGCTTTACAAACACGAACCATAAAACAATAGGCACTACCAGCAAGCAAACAAACAAATAAACAAACAAACCCTTAACTGCCGCCGTGGGATTTACAGGCAGTGCAAACTGATCAATGGTGATGGGACCCGCACTGTTTGAGAGTACATTAAGAGTACGAGCATCTTAAACAATGAATCACTTAAGCTGTCGGCTGAGTTGTCTCCAGCTGATCTGAATCATATAAAACACCAGGTAGCAAGGGCCAATGGCGGTCATATGTAATTGCACACGACAAAGTGTCCCACCTGCTCAAAATGATTTTGGAGGAGCTGCTTGTGCATTTGAAGGAAAACTGGGCTGTTATTTAATATTATATAACTCGAAGTCTTTGGGCAATCGTATGTGTCGAGTTATCCGTACTTCTGTGCATGCGGTGCCATTTTTTGACCACTCTGTCGTCAACTCTGTGTCTTTGGGCCATCTTATTTGTCGAGTTATCCGTACTTCTGTAAATGCGATGTGTCATTAAAAGACCACTCTGTCGTCAACTCAGTGTCTCTAAAGCATCGTATTTGTCGAGTTATCCGAACTTCTGTAAATGCGATGTGTCATTAAAAGACCACTCTGTCGTCAACTCAGTGTCTCTAAAGCATCGTATTTGTCGAGTTATCCGAACTTCTGTATATGCGATGTGTCATTAAAAGACCACTCTGTCGTCGACTCAGTGTCTCTAAAGCATCGTATTTATTGAGTTATCCGAACTTCTGTACATACGGTGTGTCATTATTAGACCACTTTGACGTCAACTCAGTGTCTCTAAAGCATCGTATTTGTCGAGTTATCCGAACTTCTGTACATACGGTGTTTCATTATTAGACCACTTTGACGTCATCCGTGTTGATGGCTGATTATACTCCCGTGAAATCGACGCGAATTCGCAGAAAGAAAGAAATTGATACGGACGGGATTAAAATGCAAAATATACCAAATAATTATTTCCCCTATGTATAAATAGTATGGTAATGGCTGATTAGTTGACTGATAAAGCAACATTATCTTTCAAAATTTCTGACTGAATCTGAGTTTGAAGGATAAACTGCCACTGCTTAACATAATTGAATGGAGTGAAGTATTAAGCTAGATGCATGGATCGCACCCCATTAGAGTGAGTGCATTCATATTCGGTTATTTACAGACAATCGTCATAAAGCTGGGCAATTGCTATACTCGAAAGATATTCTACTGCTTACAAACATGTACTTGTTTCTCAATGCACACAGTACAGGTCGCGTAAAGAACTGTTCATTCAACAATGTATCTCTCTCTCTCTCTCTCTCTCTCTCTCTCTCTCTCTCTCTCTCTCTCTCTCTCTCTCTCCCTCTCCCTCTCTTTCTCATCTTATGTCTCCTCTATAGTGCTGTATGCATAAATATTGAATTTGAAATTGTGAATTTTTTGTAAATACCAGGGAGAGGGCATTCTAAGTTGGAAGAACTTGTCCCCCAATCCCGTTCACTCCTTGTGAATAAATGTGTTTAAATCAACAGGTCGCGTGTAGAAAAAACACATAAGGGAGAGGAGTGAACACAATGTGTAGGCCCGAGTTAGAATTGTTCTGCAGAAACCCGTGCTTGTCGTAAGAGGCGACATGCGGGATCGGGTGGTCAGACTCGCCGACTTGATTGATGCATGGCACAGTATCTCATTTGCGTAGATCGATTCTCATGATGTCAATCACTGGAATGGCTGGTCCAGACTCAATTATTTCCAGCTGGAATATTGCAGAGTGGGGCGTTAAACAACAAACAAACACAGCCTATAAACACTTCATGTATACATGTCAGTGCAGAGGCACTGATTCCGTGGTCACTTTAAATAAAGATTTCTAACCAAACTGAAAACACATATTGTTACACATTATAAAAGTAAACACACTTTTTAATTTTAGTATGTTTACGGTTCTTCAAACACCCAGATTCAATAACGCTATTACAACACAGATTTCAAATTGTGTCTGTGTGCCATTCCTGCAGTGTTGTCAAACACCGATCAATCAATACCACCACCACGGTCTTAACGTACGTACACTGCATGGTTAAACTATACGCGTACGCTAGATTTAAACATACCAGCTAATGTTTTCTATTTTGCGAATACAACATATGGTGCCACGTCAATGAGTCATTCCAAATATCGCTTATTGCAATGTTTGGAAAACAATCTCGATAGCCCCGCAGATGTCGCGAGGTGCACTTTCCGAAGTTGACCCTTGA